GTGTGTGTGTGTGTACACTTCTGCCAGACATTCATCTTATTATCCAGTGCATCTGCGTTGAGAGAGTCTGACCCTGTCAGTGTGGAGGATTTCTGCTGACTTAGTTCTCCGTAATGATCTTGTCACTAATTGCCATGTCTAAATCCAGCGTGACGGAGTGTTCCCGCTCTCCTGGCAGAGCCTCTGTGGTCCAATCATGTCAACGGAAACTCTGAAATATTAAACACCTTGAGCTCCTCCATAAGCATCGGAAGGTACTCTTACCTTTGCATTAACAACGCTTACTGGGACGAGCTAGACGAGGCGCATAATGGAAAGAGGTTTCTGGAAACGTGATTGTCTTTAATGTCCGCAGTCGCTACTTCACTGACACTTAGCATTAGCATCATAATGAGACTTGATGTATCACAGAACAGAAGAACATTTCGGGTATTTGCTCCGACACACTTCCTTTGAAAACCTATCATTGATGCATGTTGTTGCCACAGGAATGCACATACCACAGACGGTATGGTGGCCATATTAAAGCACATACCATTGAGGCCGTGGGGCGGACGACTCGGATGGGTCAAGCAGCCCGACTGACCCTCCTGAGCTGCTGGGAAAGGGCTTTACCGTTACCGTGGCGACCCCCCCGGCAACAGTGAGGGGTCCCGGGTATGTTTGTGTTCAGGACGCTGCAGACGGTGACAGGGACGTCTCAACCTGAGGGTTTGCTCTGGGGTTTAGTCTGAGGATGTGTTTGTTGGTAAATATTGTCCTAAATTGCAATTAGGGATGTCAAATGCAAATATTTGTTTTACTTGAAAGGTAATGTGAAGTCTTTGATTCACATTAATTACATTTTTCTGAGACTTCACGTATAATAGTGCCGTACCAGGAAAAAAAAGAAATTTAATTTCCATTTTCATGGCGTTTCAGTTGTTTATAGAATGGTGCAACTCCTTAACATCCTTTTATTAAAACCATAAATATGTCTGTCTGGGACAAGTAAGAAATAAGTAAGAAAAAAATGAATGTTTAAATGTTAAATGATTCTTAAAAAATAGTTAAGCTAAAAATAAAAATAAATA